GGACGCGGAGATTCCTGTCCCGAATAGCCAGGTTTCATCGGCTGAAAGGCCGCGCCGGAATCGAGAGGTTCACGATAATCGCCTTGATAAAGCGGGTCGACGTTAAAAATCGCGAGGAACGAGGTTTTCCCTTCGCATCGCGGGGAAATTGAAATCCGCGCGGGCGGGAATTTTAATTCGACGCGGATCGATCGGATCAGCGAGACTGAGAATGATATTCCGACTACTCTGATAAATAAATTAATTAAAGGGAACGATACAACGGTTGAAAAAGAAATTTGTATAAAATTTGTAGAAGATTACAATCTGTTTTCAGTGGTGAAATATTTCCACTATGGTGATTGGTTGTAGAAATTTGAATGTGTCCGTTATTTTTAGAAGAATGATTCAATTTAATGGAGATTCAATAACGTTGAAATTATATGTAGATGAGAAGCAAATTGGAAATCATACTTTGGCTAAGTCAATATTTAATTATGTTAATGTAAAATAAATTCAGGTTTTGAATGTTTTATGTAGATTTCACTTACCGGTGAATTTTGTGAATCATTTAAAATACTTTATAGTATGTGAGTGTGAATACTGATTTACATATGGTTTTATAGGAAATTACAATTTGTTTTTAGTATTATTTCTTTTTGATGATTTGTTGTTAAAATGTAAATGTCTCTCGTTTGTTCAGTGAATTATTAAATTTAATCGCGATTAAATAACGTTGAAATTACATGTATATGCCATGAAAAGCAAATTGGAGGAAATTGGAAAATCATACTTTGGTCAGATCAGTATTTAATTGTGTTAATGTTAAATAAATACAGGTTTTGAATGTTTATGTAGATTTAGCTTAATGGTGAATTTTGTAAATCATTTAAGATCAATTATAGTATAAAAGTGTAAACAATAATTTACATATGGTTTTATAGGAAATTACAATTTGTTTTTAGTATTATTACTTCTTGATGATTGGTTGTTAAAATATAAATGTCTCACGTCTGTCCGGTGAATTATTAAATTGAATTGCGAGTAAATAACGTTAAAATTCATTTCAGGCTGAAATCGATCAAGCCTTTCTCATGACAACGTTTCAGAAATTTCATAAATGTCACACCGATGATCGCGGATGATTAAGTGATCCGTGCACGTAATTTCGTGTAAAATTTGTAATCAATTCTGTGTATCGTATCGGGGTACGACATTGGACGGTTTCATTATATTGGATCTCAACATCAGTGACGGGAACCAATTAAATAACTTCATGGTGAAAGATCGAAGAATTATTCCATACATTTCATTCAGTGCTTCATTAGAGGAGAGTTAAGATACTAATCGTATAATTATGTGTACAATTATACTACTCTTTGTCCATGTATTCTCTTACAATACTTGTCAGATTACATGTGCATTGATATTACATACTAATCATTGTACAAACTACTTGCCTGACCACGTACAGGATGTTACCACTGTCTGATTATACATATACTCATACTACTTTATAGACTATATAAAAATATACACTCTTTATTTCACTGTATACAAATTTGGAATATCATACAAGTTGAGCCCTGCAGACCGTCACTATATATCTGGCTATGTACAGATTTAAACTACTTGTCTGACTAATCTCGATCATGAACTACTTCTGGAGTCATACACATATTTGAACTACTTGCTGAACTATCCTTAGGTCTACACTCTTTGTCTGAGCATGTACTAATGTAACTACTTATTTGACTCTTGTCGAACTTGTTCCACTTGTCTGACCACACACATAGTAAAACTACTTTCCATACTATGCACAGGCTTGAACTCCGTCTCTGATTATATTTAAACTTCACACTTGTCTGACTATATGCCAACTTAAACTCCTTGTCTGTTGTATAGAGACTTAAGCTACTTACGTGGGTATACACGTGGTCTGACTATGTATAAACCTGAGCCCCTGGCTCTTCTAGTGTAAAATATGAAAAAAATAAATAATCCAGAAGCTATATTTTTCTAATAGAAAGAAAATTCTTAAAATAACTTGTATGAAATCCAAATTAAAGTTAAAAAAAACTAAAAGCCCGAGGCTTCAATACACTCAACATCACCCTCATTCACTATTTTATTGCAATATTTCTCCATAGAAGTCACTCATAGCTAACAGCCAAAAAAAACTTCAAATCTCTGACAAAAATTTTTTTTCACCCGACTATCACTCAATCGTGCCGGCAGCTTTACGAGGATTTTTTATTTGATCCCTGGCCACGTTTTCCGGCGAGAAGCGAATCCGAACACTGGTGTTCGCCAATAAAGTTCGACGACTGTTGTTATAGACATTCAGGTACACACAGTTTAGGTCCGACTACCAGGATATTCCGCGGCATTCCATTTTACTGTATAAAAATTTCGGAGATTTTTCGAGAAATATATTAACTCGTTACGAACCGGATAATCTGTTGAAGTTTAAGTTACGCACCAATTACATAATTAACAAAAAATCTTATCAAACACTGATTTAAAGAATTGATTTAAAATTACATTCATTTACAAGAAAGTTGTTAATTACACTAAAATCTGAATTAAACCAAAGAAATGTTAATTAAATTAATTTAAAATAAATTGAGGCAAACGACATTGAATTAAATCATATTAAATTAGAACAATTTAGTATATAATAAATTTAAAAAATTAAATGTAATGAAATTCAATTCAATTAGATCAAAGGAAATTTAATTAAGAAATAGTACTATCACAAATGGAGAAAATGATATTTCGGTGGTTTGTTTTACATCGAGAACCTTCGCATATCCGAACTCCAAACAAACATAGAATATAGTGCACTCGATTTTTGAGGTTAACAGCTTTCGTTCGTTCAGCCATGTTTACTGATGGAGAAAAAAAAGTTGTGATAGTTCGATGGTGGACATAGATAAAAACTGTTTCCCTCTCCTGGCTGGTTTTATGCGAGGTTCTCGTTCGCGCGGACGCATTACCCTGAGAGTTTCTATGATGAGGAAAAACAACCCCTTTCTCTGTGTTTCTGGCGCTGTTACTCCTTTCCATCTTCCTTCTGCCTGGTCGAGCGAAGAAAATTATTTATGCGGACGTTAGTTCTAATTAATTTTTCTTTTCTTGTTGCCATTCTTTGCCGCGGCCAGTAAACATCGGGATGCGCCAGGAAATGCAAATATAAAGGGGAAATTCTTTGCTGAATGTGCATGTTGCTGGTTTTTCGAAACGCATTTCGTGAAATGATTTTTTGTTTCGTTCTAATTTTAACTTTTTAGTGCTTTGTTGAGAGAAATAAATATTGTGTAGTTAATGTGATAAATAATATTATTGTATAAATATTATTAATAAAGTAATAAAAATTACATGACCGTGGATTCTGTATATTTTTGATTTCTACTAGGAAATGATTGTTCCTTTTAGACACATAAAATGGTACTTAATTTAGAAATTTTGTTTCTGCAACTTTTTTTGATTAATTAAGAGAAGTCTTTGATAAATTGACAAAAATTCTTTGATAACTGGGCATTCGTAATTTTACGGATCGTTCGTTTTATCACACTATTTTTGTTTCTTTTAAGCAATTGTACTGTTCATAATAAATTAATAAAATTCAATCTGTATTATCGTTACAATTACTCTGTAACGTTTCAACGTTTGAAATTAATTTTAGAAAAAGGTGATTAGTATTGTTAAAAACACGATGATCAGGAAAGTACTTTTTAAATGAATCTTTCCTATTTGAAATTTTACTTTTTGAAATGTTTTTTTTTCTTGGTAACTTCGAAAAGAGTTAATTAAGGCGTTGGAGCTGTCATATTTCATTGTTTGATCGATTTGGTGCGACGAGAAGTACTCTGTTATGTGATTCAGATCGCTTTCCGTCATTCATGGTCGAAGAAAGTTCTTGCTGTCACGAAATTTCCGGTTAGTCACGGGAGATAGGAGTTACTCGAGAGATCCTTTATCCGACAAGCGACACAATATCACGGTACTGACACTCGGAATCCCTAGCGACCAATGCGACGGAGACCCTGTAACACGAGAATTCCTTGAGACAACAGGACGTTTCGTATTCTACCGTTTTCTAATTCCCTTGTATCGGAATTTCCTAATTTTTCAATCCTTCACTGCACGTAACACAATATCTTTTTGTTTAAAAATTTATTTCGGAAATTTCAATGTTCAAGAATGTATCAGGATAACGTAAAGTAGTATTGTTTGGTTTAAAAATTTATTTTGGAAATTTTAGTGTTCAAAAACGTATCAGGATAACGTAAGGTAGTATTGTTTGGTTTAAAAATTTATTTTGAAAATTTTAGTGTTCAAGAATGTATCAAGATAACGTAAAGTAGTATTGTTTGGTTTAAAAATTTATTTCGGAAATTTCAATGTTCAAGAATGTATCAGGATAACGTAAAGTAGTATTGTTTGGTTTAAAAATTTATTTTGGAAATTTTAGTGTTCAAGAATGTATCAGGATAACGTAAAGTAGTATTGTTTGGTTTAAAAATTTATTTTGAAAATTTCAGTGTTCAAAAATGTATCAGAATAACGTAAAGTAGTATTGTTTGGTTTAAAAATTTATTGTGTAAATTTCAGTGTTTAATGATGTACCAGGAAAATATAAAATAATATTGATTCGTTTAAAAATGTCTTTAATCAATTTCAATATCAAATAATTACAGTGTACATGCTGCTCGCAGCAAATAAGAATTGTTGAATAAGAATTATTATTTTAAAATCAGTTCTATAGAACGTTTCCAACATTTTTGTGTCTTTAATTTCCTATGCCTGTAAAAATTATATTAACAAGAACAAATTATCACAATATGAAAGATGATTGACACCGAATAAAAATGTTTAATAGTGTAAATAATTAGATAACAGTGTTAAGTAAAAATTGTGATGTCAAATGATCAATAATTGATTCTCGTAGCAGTTAACGTGTTAATACATATAATAATCATGTAATTACTAACAAAAACAATAATTATTTGTTACAGTGGAGGTGATGTTTCTAATATGGGGCATCCGGTTATGCATCGTGGTACGCAAAACTCCATCAGAGTTCAATGAGAGCCGCTTCATCTCGATGGCGATCTACAACGAATTTCTACTCTCAGTCTTCCTAAACGTTTCGATGTAAGTTCCTTTTAATTTCTAGTGCCGCCCTTTAGAATAAATCATCCCGGACGTAATTTATCACGTAACATGGAATACCGCAAAATGTTACCTCCGGTGTTTGAAGAATATTACGCAATTTCGTAATTCTTTCTCATCCCGGTAATAAGGCTGCGCCGTGGAACGAATTTCAAAGCACCGGATGCATCTGGAATTGCGGACGTTGATCTAGTGGGTTGCTCGAATGAAACTTCAGATTAAACGATTTCGTTTTAAATACATTCTCTTGTGTCTGCTGCTGAGTGTGAGAATTATTCTGAAAATATTTAACGCCTCGAGATGGTTTAATTAATTATTTCTCGGAGATACGATTACTTTGTTAATTTTATGAAATAATTTTGTTTTAACTAGTCACGCGGTGCCTGGGTTAATTTTGATAAAAAATTAACTAAAGTTCGAAAAACAAGATTGAGAGTTTTGTCTTGTTATCTCTCATTGAAGAATTTTTGATATTTTTCAAAGGCAGAATCAATTGGCGTCTTCTAATTACGCGATGTTTTTCAAGATCCTCTCGCGATGCCCGGGTCAATTTGGACCCGCGCCTTAGAAATCCAATATAAATTTTTATTTTTCAATTTTTCACGATTTATTTGAACCAGCGACTTCCATTTAAAGATATGAAGCAGTGCGACATTAAAAATTCATTTGAAATTCTGGCAATGAGAATTTCGACCATTCGGTGCCGGAAACCGTCACGTCGTGGACAAAAGCTGTCCTTGCGGCCAGCACTATTCGCCATGCGTCGATGACGATGCGACAGACGCGTCCGCGTAACACGTAACGCTGGTTGCAGCTACGAATCGTTAATTTTAATAATGTATCCCACTGATACTCGGGCCACGTTCCCCGCGAACTGGAGCAGAACACCGGAAGCTATTATGTCGTCGCGCAAGTGCACATATTCTGAATAAATGACGTCACCGCTTGCCGCTTGCAACCGCCGCGCCAAAATTATACATCGAATTGGCCGAAACGGTCTTCGCCGCGGTTAAGAATTCAACTATCTTCTCGGCTTAATGGGTTGGTCACTGAAATCTAACCTCAGTTTTCAGATTTCCAGAAAACTCTTAAGACGTCCAACGATGCGATGGTCTCATCTTTTCTTTTGGGATGAATTTTCAGTATTTATAGCGTAATGGAAACTTGAATAATATCAATTTTGCGAAAATATGGCGATGACGATTCATGAAAACTAACCTCTCTTTGCAGTCTTTTAGAGGATTCTTAAGACTTCTAGTGCTGTGAAAGCCCTATCTTTTCTTTTGAAATGAATTTTGGTATTGATAATATAATGGAAATTTGAGTATCAGTTTTGCTGAAATATGATAATGATGGTTCGTGAAAATTAACCTCACTTTTCGGCCTTTTAGAGGACTCTAAAGGTGCCTAGTGCTATGAAACCCTATCTTTTGTTTTAAAATGAAAATCTAGTATTGATTATATACTGGAAAGTTGAATGATATCAAATTTTTAAAAGTATGATAATAACGTTCCCCTTACTTTTAAAATCAAAATCTAATATTTGCACCATAATTTCTAACGAAAAATTTAATTAAAGTAGAACACTACCACGGCCCATGAAACTTAACCTCACTTCTTAGCCTCTCAAAAATCGCCTAAGACTTCCATTACTGTAAAAGCCCTACCCTCTCTATCCTAAATGAAAATTTACTATGTATAATACAATTTCAAGCAACGTAAATTGTATTCAAGTATAACAATATTCATACACGTTTTATTTACAAATGTTAAGGTTAGGTTCATAGAATAAACAGTAATCCATTCGTTCTACATTAAAATCTTACATCCTCAATTTAGAAACTGAAAATTGAGAAACTTTTCAACTGTTTGTGCTAAACTGTTTCCTTGTAATTGGCACACCGCGTGCACCAATGAACTCACAGAGGCTAAAGGAGATTACAGTGTAACCTAATCCTTGTCAAAACTCTCTCAGCAGCCCCTAACCTTCCTGCAGAGGGCCATGGAAAAAAGGTTCGCGCGAAACAGACATCTCAGAAGTTTGTAAACCGCGCTGGTCGGAAGTGCGAGTCACTACAAAACCGCGGTGTCGTATACGCAAGAGCTTAATCGTGCGCATAATTATACCTGAACTCGGCGAAGCTGTTCGCGTAAAGGTAAACTGGCGGAAAGTGGATTCTGTACGGTAAGTTGTCCCGAAATTCGGGACCCTTCGCGAAAGAGAAAACTGCGAAGTTCCGGGCTCCGGTCTCCTCGAAGAAACTCGCGCGCAAAACTTCGGTAGCAACCACTACAAGTCACTCGGTAAACTACGGCCAATTGATTCTTGCCGTTCTTTGTAGGCTGGCTTATGGCCCGTACGGCAGCATTATATTGGGTATCCCGAGATCTAAACGTGTCGATATCTCCGTTGCTGTTGTAGTTTCGAGAAACTGTTCGAGATGAAATTTGTTACCTCTGAGCAGAAGAATATTTATGGCAGGAAGCTTTTCTACATCAATGATATATTCGAGAAGATGTTGCCAATAATGTCTCCCTTTAGAAAATCAAGAAGTTGAGTGTTTATTTTTGAAGATGCAATAGTTTTTAAATTTGTATTTAGTAGGAAATTATCTGGAAGACTTTGAAAGAACAAATATGTAAGGTTCGATTCCCTGTGTCTGTCAATATTTAATGATTTATTAATGGTATTCATATTTCAGGAAACGAAGGGTTGAGGAATATTATTTTTCTTTAAGAAATACATTTGTGTTTCATTGTCGAAGATTTTGGTTCCGCTGATTTGGCAATTTTTAAATATTGTATATCAGAGAATAATCACAATGAAAATTTGTCCAATACAAAATGAAAATCGGTTCACTATAGAATGAAAATTGAACCACGATAAAATGAAAATTTATCCAACACAAAATCAACTAATTACAAAAAGAATATTCATGCAATACAAAACGAAGATAAATCTAATGCAAAATGAAATTATCACAATTACTTCTATTTGAATCGTTTACTTTAAACATTACTTCAATCAATTTCCGAAAAACATAAACTTAATCATTACAACAACTCCAATTCTATATTATCTCTCTATTTCTAACAGCTTCCCCTTCTTTTTTTTAATACGTTGACTGCCACGAGAATTGCTAGCGTTTTGAACAGTAATACTTATTCTTTAATAACAAAGGCGAATGATATTGAAAATAATTATTAATGATTTAGTATCACAGTAGTCGTATTACGCTATGATCTAGATACTTACGTTACTAAATATTCTTATTTAAAATCAAGTTTTTTATTGTAATTGTTCTCCAGTAATTCGGAAGCTCCGGTCATTGGTTACTACGTGGCAGTCGACGTGTTAACACTAGGTTTACAGAACGCGTCAAATTGACGCATATTGGATTTTAGAAATATTATTTTGTAAATGTTTACGCCGATTTTGATTGATGCGATCACACTGACATGTACCCCAATTACCTACTATCAAATCTCCAGTTTCCACAATCTAAATAAACGAGCATCAATTCTTTTAGGAACAATAGAATAAACTGTACAATAAATGCCCATAAACCTAGTGTTAATGAACTCAAGCTTTCGAAACAAGCGTGTGATTTATCGAAAAAAATTGCCCGAAAGAAGCGCAACTCGTTTTTCCCGTCGATAGATGACAGTCTCAGTCGGAACGAAGTCTCAAGCGTCGCAATCTTTCTCGTTGCAGGTTGTTCTTGCAATCGCCGGCCAATCCAGATTTATTGTACGTGATATTTTTCTGTCACACCCAGCTCACCGTCACGCTGCTGCTGTGCCTGATATTCGGCAGCAAGGTAAGACAAAATCGGCAAATATTAACGAACGCGTGGCGCGAAATTGGGAATTCCGGCGGGCAGCAGTTTGCCCGGCGGAATTTATTTATTTTACGGGCCGTGTATTGATCATTGGATGCACCGGGCACGGGCCCGTGAAAGTTGTAAACTACATAGTTCCGTAGGTGCGCGAAATAATTTATCTGGCTCGGTGGTCTGCGCGAAAAGGCGAGCTCTTTAAACTAAATATTCCATCGATGGTGGAAAATGGCGATTGGGCCGGAAGCCTCGAATGCGTGGCTTGCTGGAATGGCCGCGGCGCACGGGGCGATGCAAAATTGCCTGTGAAACGTTCAGTTAATA